TCGATATAAAATCCGCTTAGAAAAATCAGGATCTGTAACAGCTTGCATATTGCACTGTAATCTGAATGTATGAAAAAGAATCAAACAGAAGACTTTTATTGTTGGAGCAATAATGTTGCATCGGGACCCTTTTCTGATAACGCGCAGAATTTATCAAAAATTATCACCTAACACAACAACCTTTCTACAATTTCTTTCACTGTATGTTTTCATGTATTCTTTTCGTGGGTGTGGGTGTGGGTGTGGGGTGTGATGTGTGGGTGTCATTGAAAAAGATCCACACCCACACCCACACTCACACCCACATCCCACACTATCAACGCCCCAACCCACACGCACACCACCCACACCCACACCCGCATCCTGAAAACTTATAATGTATTCAAGAAAAACTATACTCTTATTGTTTTAAAGTTATTCAAAAAAAAAACGCTCACGACCAATTTACTCTGAAATAGGCACTAACATAAAGATATCAGTGCAAATTAAAACATATCGTCATTGAAATATTAACTTTCTTTATTCAAAGATCAAATCAGATCAACCAGATACATTTTTTCATTGTTTTTTTTTTATATCATTGAAGAGATGTTAAATGTCAATTTAAGATTGAAGATAGTTCTCAATGTGATTAGGACATTATCGATTTTATTTATCTATATTGTTAAGATATATTTTGTCTTGCACATTCATCAAGTTATTACTATTTTTTTCTATTAAAAATACAAGTTAACACATTTTTTTTTTGTAAAAGAATCAGCTGTAATATTTCATCTACTTGCAACATCATCATATGTTGTACTACATTCAATTGAAAAAAAAAGATTAAAGATGCAGTACTATAGTCGATAAGTACTGCTAGAAAAAAAATACATTTTTGTGTTTCTTCTTCAATTTTCCGATAAATGATCAAGAAATAAATACTGATGCAGTAATTCAACCGGTAACTGTTCTTACAGCGAATACGGCTTCTATTTCTTTTTCTTGTTTATTAGAAACTAACAATCAGTATTATACGAGAAACGAAACTATTATAAAAACAGAATATAGTATTCAATTTTATAGAATAAATTTTTGTTTAGCTAGTATTTATTTGAACAATAAAAATATTGGAATGAGTAATAATTAAGATACGATATAGCAATAGTTTTTGAGCACTTTTATAATATTAAACGTTCAATAATTAATTCATTAAATAGCTGTAGTAATTTCATATTTTAGCAATAACAAAAAAGAAAAGTAAGATATTTTTATTTACAATTGACAAGAAAAAAAGGAAAAAGAAAAATTAATATATTAGTGTATCAACACAGCTCTTTTTGCTTTAGCTAGTCTCCCTCCTTTCCTTTTAGTATCAATATCCACATCTTTTGCTTCTGGTTGTGGTTACACAATTATCTTTACCCTGTTATCAAGAGACTAGCTACATATTATTGTCATTTTCACTATCAGAAATACGCTGCACTACGCGTTGTGATTGAACCATTTATATAAATTATATATTTTATTTTATAAGATGGAAAAAATACGTATTTATATAAATAAATTCTTAACATAAGAGTTTTCTCATCCACTATTAGAATTGTCCTATTAATCATCGTGCAAATTTCCTTGTGCTTATCTTACACTATATATGAGATTTTTCCAACACTTTCGATATTTATATAACATATATCAATGTTCTCTTCTATGGGAGATCAAATATTAAAAATTCTATTGTCTTCTCAACCTCATTGTTTTTTCTACGTTTTTTCTTATATACCATATTTTAAATGTGTACGAAATAAATCGAACTCACGTAAACACATAACAACAAAAATCATACAATTTACATAAATGAATTCGTATTGCCATTTTTATGTGAAATTTATTTTTAATTTAAATAAACTATTGCTCATTTTAATTATTGTATTGCTCAATTAAATATAAATCTTTTTGTTTTAATAATATTCGAACACATTTGTCTTATGACAAAGTATTTAATGAAATAACATTAACATATCTACTAGTTATAATCAATAGTTATATTGGAAATCTACAAGGATTAAATATTTATACGATGCACCCATTTTTCTTTTCAAATACAAAGCATTAATTATTGTTATTTTATTGGTGTCGAGTATTAGGACGACCTTCAATTGTTAATTGAATAATATTCGATTTTATGTCGGATTCATAGCTACTAGTAGTGTCGGGAGAGGTGTTCTTCAATGTTTCATCATCGCTGAATATAACACTCTCAGTTGGCCTATAGTATTGAATTGAATAATTACAACTCTTAGTCATATCGTATGCTGGTGATAGTTGAACTAGAGTTTGTATAGTTTTACCAGGTGCTAGAGAAATGACATCTGCATTTGTTGGTGCGCGTCGTTTGATCATTGGACCGACATAATCAACGGAAGCATTATCACAGGTTACTTGAAATAGTGGATCACTTAATTCTTTGTCTGGTAAACACCATTTAAAAATATGTATGATTTCTTTGCCAGTATTGTCATATCGCAACCACACTGATACGACTTGTGTTTTATTATATAAAGAGCGTTCTGAACCAATTGTAACTTTCAAGTCACTTGCAAAGATATTAAACACCATCATGGCAATTGAAATATATAAAACGATATATCGCTTGTTCATAGTAACTCAACGTTTTGTAATGTATTCGTATGTTAGTACTTTGTTTGTGTATAGATACAAAAAAAGACGTAACACTCTCCTTATATACGAGATGAGCTGTGATGCTTTATCAAAGCACAACTATACCACCACTTATGATTAGTTTCTCACATAAATCGTTCTCATTTCTACATGATTTATCAAGGTAATATGAGTCAATTGGAATATAACTTGAAAAAAAGGATAATATTTGCTCGTATTACAATACAAAGGTGATGTGACTAATGTGTAAAATGATCATTGATGCATAGCATAAACAAATTGATTAGAAAGTGCAACGCATAGTATCTCATCAAGCAAGAGATAATAGCCTACAGAGAAAAAAACCAGTTAAGGTAAATGGGAAATTATAATTCGTCATTTGCTCAAGTTACTTAGACTTGGATATTTCATTATTCGAACAAGTGTGATTCATGACATGCCTCAATATCATTCGTCTTATTGGCTATGACTTTTATTAGTTCATTTTTATTTTGAAAATAATCGACTATACAACTCTTCATATTTATGTACATGCTGTGGTTAAGTGAATTCCGTAACCATACTCATACGCAGAAAATAGACCCACACCCTGCTAAGTATTCACTGTACTGTGTGTGGCATTTTTGAAACATTAGAGAATTTCTCTGATAATCGAATTAGTCTCAACAAATCTGGTTCATGCAAGAGATGTTTATAAAATTCTGTACAATAGAAATAATTGTTCATCTTAATTTTTAATTCAATACCAGCAAGTTTATTTTTCATTTTGTTTTAAATACTACGCAAACATGTCATGTGACTAAAAATAGGTTCATAAAAGGCATCCGGTGCTTGCGGAGTTAATCTAATCCAAAAAACTGTCTTATTGCTTTTTTTGTCTTGGCTTTCATTGTTGGTTAAACATATTACTAAGAGCCGATATGAAAAAGACAGAAAAGAAGGAATGAGAAGAAAATCCTGAAAATTAGTCCCTGATTCCAGGAGACGGGCTTAAAAATCAGGATTCTTGTGGAAAAATCAAAAGGTTTAGTAACTCCGAGGAGAAAAGTGAAACTTCATCTACTTTAAAGAAAATGTGAAGTACAAGTGAAGTATGCACTCTTGAGGTCTCCTTCATCTTGTATTTTCAAAGATACACATGTAGAGCTTATGTGATAGAAAAAGTAATGAAAAAAACTAATTTTATTGAAAAATCGACTGTTTTTCTTTCATATGAAAAAAATTAATTTTTTAGTATTTTTTCAAGATTTTTCAAGTAGTTTCTTGAATTTTTTTGTCTGAGAAAAATGGCTTAAAGGATTCTTAATATATACAATTTTATAGACTTGGACAAGCTCTATCGAATTGTATAAAAATATCCAAGAAAAAATTTTACTTCATTTTGTTGAACTACCGCCATCTTGATTTTCTACGCCAAAAAACTGTAAAATTTCTTAGGTTCGACATTAAAAATTTCAATAACCTTTACTATTTAGTATCAGTAGATCTCATTTTCGACGAGCTTTTAGTTGATATAAAATTCATTATATCTTCTATCCGAAATTATGGTGTTTCCCTCTTGGAATAATATTATTTCCAATCCTGTACACAAAGGATAAAATTCTTCATTTTGATAAAATTATCTTTTAAAACTTAATTATTACCCTCATATTTTTATTAATGAATTTTTGAAAATTCGTCATGAAATATTTAATTATCAAAGTTCTATCTGAGTGTGACTGTGGATGTAGGGACAGGACAAAGGCCCACACCCATCCATATCATATATATCAAACGTGATATTAGTATCATATAGAAAATCCTTTTACATCCATACTCTACATTATTTCTTGTATTGCATAAAAAAGATTATCGAATGATTCACTATTTGAATAATTGTTGTTTAACAATGATAATCTTGATAACAAGAAAATGATGATGCTGATATATTTGTGTCATAATTATCTACTTTTTTAATATGATTGCTTGTTCGTATTTCTTTTTTTTTCTTTTATAAGCTGTCGTTAATGTCGTCATTCCTGTTCGTCATAGAATAATATAGGTGAGTCTGATTCTCATTTTTCTAGTCGACAACAAAAAGTACTACTCTTGATTTTTTTTTCTGATTGTTTCACTCATTAGACCAATTTAACTATTGTATGTAATATAAATCATAAAGTAATAAATATCTTTTGATGTATCGATATGTATAATATATCAATATTTACTTTTTTCGTGATTCGTTGTTTGCTCATCTCAAGAAAAGAAAATGTTGAAATGATTCATAATGGGAAGCAAAAAAAAATTGTAGATAGATGAAGTCAGGTGATTTGTTTTGTTTTTATTTTCAAATATTATAGATGGCATCGAACATGACAACAGATATTGAAAATCTTTGTACATTATTCAACAAGCAAACAGATTTAACAACAAAAATAACAAATGATCAACTAGAAACTAAAAATTCATCAGTGTAAATGTTTATTTTTTTTCTTTTATTTAATATTGATGATTTATTTTTAATTAAATAGTAATGTTCAATCACATCGTCCTGTAACTATTTCGATTCTTGCACATTATTTTAGTCTTCAATGTGATGAATTTCTTCGTTTATCTCTAAATCCACAAATTGAATCAAAATATTCTGATAGTTTAAAAAATTCTTTAATAAAAAAACGTGGTATATCATTTGAAGATAGTATAAAATCATATCATTCATCATCAATATTATCTAATATACATGATGAATATGAATTTTTATCCTATCTTCATTCATTCATATCAAAACCAATTGAATTTCAAATTGGTTATAATATAAAATTTCAATGGAAATATGATAAACATATTCAAAGTTATTATAAACCAGATTTTCTTTTAATTAAATATTTAAATAATTCTGAACATCAAATTGAAATAACAATAGTAGATGCAAAATCTTCACTTCATATACGTATTGAACATTGTATTCAAGTATCATTATATGCAATTGATTTAACAGTTTGGATTAAATAAAATAAACTTGAACAAAATGTTTTTATTAGTAATATAGCTGAAATTTGGTTACCAAGTAAAAAAAAAAATTTTTCCTATGAAAAAATTACAAGAAAGACTTAAAAATTTTCTTAAATATGATCTTGAAAAAATATTCAAAAGTAAATTTATAATGACATAAAAAATTAATGTTATTGTTTTTTCTTTGTTTTTGTTGCTTTGATTCTTTAGGTTCTGAATGGATTATATTACCACGTTGTTCATTTTGTTCATTTGCATCTCATTGTCATCAACGTGCAATTCATTATGAACCTAAATCAATAAATAATTTATCTTAGTTAACGAGATCAACTTATTTATTAATTCAATCATTATTTTCATCAATTAATATTCAATTTATTCTTGATCATTCAAATAATAATGAATATTATTTAGATGATAAAATAAAATTACAAAAAATTTTATCTATAAACACAGAAAATAAAACAAGTACTGTAATTCATGCACTTCAAACACATGAACCACAATTAAAACAACAATTATCATCACTTTTAATACCAAAAAAAAAATAATGATTTAATTCTTCTTTTTATTTTCTTAATACCTGATCCATTTCAATTACATTCTGTTGCTCTGCTTGCTTATAATATATATGATATTTCTAATCAATCATGGTTTTCTTTTCAACCTATGATTCAAATAAATCCATCATCATCTCATATTATTTCAATTATTGCTCAAGCATTAGAAAAATTACGTCAACAATTTCAACGTCCATGTCAAATAATTCTATTTGATGAAAAAGAACGAACTGTTCTATTTGAACAATTAACACTTGCATCTGATAATGAACAAATTGAACAATGTCTTATTTTATTACAATCATCAGAAAATGCTATTTTATTGAATTATCCACCTGATATTATTCAAACGGATCGTTTATTTCGTTCACATCCATTATCAAATATATCAAAAGATGAAATAAAAAAAGAATTATATGAACGTTATGGTTCATCAGATAATAATAATAAAATATCTACAAAAGCAGAATTAATTCAAGAATTAAAACAATTAAATGAAAAAGAACAAGAAAAAGCAAGACAAACTCTTATTGGATTACCTTGTCTCATTTGTTTACATACAGGTATTTTTATCCTAGAAAAATAACTAATACTAGTAGTTGTTTTTTTCTTTTCGTTAGCTATTCGTCAATCATTTGTTGTTCCAATACCAGGATATTTCGATCTCGAAGATTTGAAACGTTCATTTAAAATACCCTTAACTTCATGTAGTCTCAATGAAATATTTGAGTCTACTAACTCTGCAGGTAATATTTATTCAAAAGCACATAGAGATCTATACTTTTCAGTAGTTCAAAATGGACATTTACTTTAATATCTATTCAATAGAGAGAATCAAGCTCGTTTGATTTATACGAGACAACAGTTTTGCATAGATCGATTGTTCTAGGGATGAACCGAGACTCTCGATGCGGGTAGTCTCGGTCGAAAAACTGAAAAAATAATAATTTCGACCGAGAGTGAATACAATGCTTACCTAGGATAAAGAACGAATAAGAAGTTAATTGTACCAGAGCGAGATCAATATTCATTAACACCGAGACCAAGGCTAACTGAGACCGAGAGGCTCGACTTCGGTGCATCCCTAGATCGTTCTAAAGAGGTCATATTAGAACTCATCGAAGAACTGTTGTATAGATTTATAAAATCGAATCCATTATAATATTATTTATTGTTTTTTTTTTTTGTATTCATTTAACAGAAATTGCTAATCGTGTTCAAGAACGTTTGAATGTTCTTGCTCATCTTTATTTAATTGTTCAACATCGTCTTTCAGAATCAAATCTTCTTCAATTAGATGCTTGTTTATTACCAAATATAACACCCATAAAAAGTTCTCATTTACATATTCGTCGTTTAATTTTTTTACGACAATATGAAATGTTACATACATTACGTTCAATTCAAGAAACACGTTTTGATTTAAATGAACCACCTATTCTTATTCGAATATTAACTAAAATACCTATTGATAAATATAATAATTTATGGAAATGTCAAATTGAACGTGGTCATGAAATAATTTCAAAAAATTTAACTGAAAATATAACAAATACAAATAATTTTCATACATATCCATATTTAATTTCAAAAGATAAATATTCAATTCGAACATTTCCTGATGCTATTTATATGGATTTAGCTATTGATGGAATTCGTTCTCATATTAAACTTGATCAATGTGGTCTAGTTCATGTTGAACAAAAAGAACAAGAAGACTCAATATTTATTCGTATTAAACTTTGTAATTTTTCTCTTGAAATTAATCATCAATATTATTTAAGTGAACGTTATATAGATTTTAATACAAAGAAAGCTATTCAAGCATTAGAACAAACAACTCAATTAACTATACAAATATTAGATGATCCTAGACAATTAAAAAAGTCTGAATTAATTCAAAAAACCAATAAAATAATGCAACGAGAAATATCAAATATGTTTTCCAAACGAGAATCAACAATTAAACCTGAAGGTTTACATATGCTCAATAAAGCACAACAACAAGCATGTGAAAAAGTCAAAAATGAACGTATTACTCTCATTTGGGGTCCACCGGGTAAGAATACTGGTTTTTTTTTCTTCTTTTATTCAACTGATTAAGACAAAATATTCCATCGTCTTATCTGAAATATAAAGAAAATCAAATAGAGATTTAGTATAGCATTATTTTGATCTGTTTTTGCAAAAAGAAAATTTTATGAGGTCGAAAATTCTTTATGATAATCTTTGACATTACCCATTTTAATATTATTTTTTATAGGTACTGGCAAAACCTATTGGTCAGGTGTTACTGTTTTTCAAATGTTAATGTTTTCATCTTCACCATTACATGTATTAATTACAGCTTGTACACATACAGCAATCGATAATCTTCTATCATCAATTAATCATTTGAAAAATCTATTTTCTTCATCACCACAATTTTCTCAATGGTATCAATTAGCTCAAGAATTAATTGTATTAAAAATCGAATCAAATAATTATCGTACTCTTTCATCTTCATATGGTAAACATCATCTAGTTGTTGGTTCAACAGTATGGACATTACAAAAACTTGATCGTTCAATTGTTTTTGATATTATATTTATTGATGAAGCAACACAATTATTAACAAGTGATGCTATATTAGCTTTGAATCGTTTAGTTGATCATCAAGAATCACGATTAATTGTTGCAGGTGATCCATTACAATTACCACCTATTAAACGTTGTATTTATCCATCTTTACCTCATCCTATACCTGATTTATTTTCATCGATTTTTCATTGTTTATTACGTGATGAAAATAATTTTCCAATATCATTACATACTGAAAAACCATTTGAACAAATTTCACGTTGTCCATATTTATCTATTTTTAATGAAAATCATCGTAAGTTTATTTAATTATTTCATGTTTTTTTTTGTTTTTTTAAATTTATCATTATTAATTATTATTTATATTAGGTATGAATGATCAATTATCAGATTTTACTCGTCTTTTATATGGTGAAAATTATCGTCAAGGTCGTTCAAGACCTTTACTTTCTATTAGTTCTATTAATGATTCAAATACATATCTTCTTGGTACACTTCTTAAACCTTCTAATTCTCTTTATACACTTCTTGTTGATTCATCATCATTTTCAACTCGTAGTGAAGATCTTGATCTTGAATCACAACTTGTTTATTCTCTTATTAATGAACTTGTTTTACGTATATCACTTTCATCAATATTTATTATAACACCACATCGTATGCAACGTTCTTGTATTCAACAAAAATTTAAGAATAATCTATTTTCAAATATTCAAATAACATGTGATACAGTCGAAAGAATGCAAGGTAAAGAAGCTCAATGTGTTATAATTTGTATGTTATATAGACAAAATGAAATACTTGAAAATGAATTAGATTTTATTTATAATCGACAAAGAATTAATGTTAGTATAACACGTGCACAACAATTATGTATTCTTATAACATCTCAAGTATTATTTAATCAACCTCCATTAGAATTATTTGTTAATGATAATACAAGAAATGCTTATACTTTATTAAATAATTATATTGATAAATCTACTGTACGATTATTAGATAATCATGGTAATATTAAATAAATTCTTTTACAA